TTTTTTTCTCCTGTACTGGGGTTTGCTGCAAACTTTGTTTTGGCTTAGGCTGGCCTGGAACCATAATCCTCCTGATCTAAACCTCCCACGTAGTTTGGGATGACAGGAGGGTACCACCATACCCAGCTAATGGTTTAGATGGGGTCTTGTGAACTTTTTGCCCAGGTTGGCCTCCAACTCTGATCCTCCTGATCTCAGCCTCCCAAGTAGCTAGGATTACAGGCACCATACCCAGCTCCAAGTAGCATTTTTTAAAAGCCACTCCTGTCCATGTCCAGTGTTGGCTTTAGTTCACTCAGCGTGTCTTTATGTCATCCCCTCCTTTAGTGCGTCAGACAACATCCCAAAAGCAGATGCAATCCGGACCCTCATCAAGGATCTGTGGGACACGCGCATGGCCAAGCTTCGGGTTTCTGCTGACAGCTTCGTGCAGCAGCAGGAGGCCCATGCCAAGGTAGGTGGGGTTTGTCCTTCCTCTACCGCTGTCCACCTGGCGCCCATAGGCTCTGCTGCTAGTTTTGATATTGCTGAAAAGTTTCAAATAGCATACTGCCCACTCAGACTGTTGCAAGCACAGATTATAAGCTGCGCTGTTCAAAACTCGCTGGGTCCAGGATGTGACTCAGTGGTAGTACTGCCCAACACACAGAAGCACAAGGCCCTGGGTTCCATCCTTAGACCAAAAACAAGAGACCATCTTAAACTTTTTTCAGTAGTTTCACTTCTTCTCAATCAAGAACTTCTTGACCTACTTGGTCTGCTTTCTTGTTTCAGCTGGATAACTTGACCTTGATGGAGATCAATACCAGTGGGGCTTTCCTTACACAAGCACTCAATCACATGTACAAGCTCCGAACAAACCTCCAGCCTTCTGAGAGTGTCCAATCTCAGGACTTCTAGAGGCCTGTGATGTGTAGCGGTGTCTGCCGACAGGAAGCTCATTGGGTGAGGTGTGAATACTTAGGACACAGTAGAGGTACTCATGGTTCCTGAGTTCTGGAAACTTTTTTTGCAGTGCTTGGGATCAAATGGGAACATTTTTGAATGTATGAGAAATGTGTAATGGCAGAAGGAATGGATTTCTAACATCGGTGGAGAACCAATAGTTATGTCTATAATTAGTCCTCAAAATACACTTCACTGCATGTTCAGTTCCTCACCTAATTCTAGAAGCCAGCTTATCTTTCATGGGGAAAGGAAACAGCTTCAGTTTCTCCCTAGCAGAGCCTGAGGTGTCCTGCATGGTGATAGATCAATGACTAGTGTAGATATAGCAGGTATGCTGCATGGCCAGGGCCATTTTCCCTTCTTGATCCTGATTTCTTTGTGTTAAATAAAGAGTCTTCTGCAGAGGTTCCTCACACAGGATGGCAGATGGAATGGCTAGTAATGTTGACCAGTGTTTATCATCTAAGCCCAATCTGTAATAAAAACATGATCAGCCCAAATCTAACTTTGTTGGGTTTCTGTCCTGCATAACTACCAAGTAGAAAGTGGGCACTGTAGTGAAGATAATCTGATAAGCAGGCAGGTATACAACAGCTGATTGGAAACCGTAGACCCACACTCAAGGGGAAAACTAATCCATTGTGTCAAGTGAGGCTTAAGACAGTGCTAGCAACAAAGGTTGGGTCTTAACACTGCTCTCAGTGTACTCAAGGGAAGGAAGCACTCTTTGCTGTAGACGACAGTGGCTTGGAGGAAATTTTTTTTTCTAAGAGAAAATTACTGATTACTCAACTGTTGCATTTTTGAATTGTTAGGTCCCTTATAGACAGTATACTGTCTCCAAAGGGGAAGTGATTGTCCAGTGCCATACAGTAATAGTTCCATAACCAGCCTGTTTTGAGTTAACAAGCTTCGGTTCAAAAGCTGTAAGGAGTGTCTGGGAGCTCTCCAGAGCTGTGAGTGCAGGTGCCTGCCCCACTCAGCCTGGAGCAGTGGCTGGCATCTACCGTTGGTTCAAGTTACCTGAGTGCTATTTCTCTGGTCCAGTGCTGCCCAGATGTCTCCATCCGTAGATGCTAGTGGTTATTTTAGCACTGAGGGGCTAGAGGATTAGGACCAGATGACGGGTTCTCTGTAAATTAAGGTGCTGTTCAGAGGATTGGTTTCAGGTGAAAGGACTTGCTTTTCCATCTCTTACCTGAATCCTTCAGATTTCATCTGGAAATCGTAGAACAAAACCACGTGTTATTGTGGAGGGTCAGAGGGTGTGTGTTTCAGATCTCACCCCTAGTATCTTGCTTTTAAACCTGAGCCTGTTTTTTTTTTTTTTTTTTGTATATAATATAAAGAAGTATATAATATAGTATATAATATATAAAGAAGATATAATATAAAAAAGATTTTCCTCTTAACATGATTTAAGATGATTTTATTTTTTGGATCTTGTCAGAAATTACAGCAATATATTCATAAATACCTAATTACTACATTCAACAAATAATATTACAATACAGTTAATTCAAACAAGTACACTTAGAACAGGTTTAATTTCACAGCATCTAAACTGCCCCCAGAGTGACCGAGGCACCATTGTCCTCCCTCCCGCCCAAGTCTGGGTTTGCTGTCCTAGCAGTGAAGCATGGGGTGTGCACAAGCAACATCACCAGTGAGCGTGTCTTTCTCAGGTCAAGGCAGAGTCTAGGAGTTTTAAGTTAAGCGCTGGATCAAAAAGTTGGGGACAGGCTACTGCAAGTAGTGAAGTCAAAGCTTGGTTACTTGGAAGAGTAGAGAGGTTGCTGCTAAGTGGCTACTATACAGAAGAACTGATGTTTGCGCTGACCACCTCCATCTTGTGTGGGTCCTTGGAATTGTCTATGCTTTACGTGGCTCAGGGAAGGGGCAACGTGGTTTGAAGTTGAGCTGAATTTTCTGAGGTTCGGCAGTACTGTGAGCCACCTGAGGGAAATTCCATTCTAGCACAGCTTTAGATTCTGTTTTTTGCTAATGAAAGTGCAGGCTCCTTTCAATACTTGGAGTAGTCTTAAGAGTACAAGCTATGAAAATGTTACTGCAGTTGAGTGTTTTGTCCCTTTATAACTAGAATATAGACTGAAATGTTCAAAGTCCTATTTTGGTCACTAATCTGAGACAATGACTGGGAGTGTGGTATTTTTCAGTTTGGCTGATTATATGAAACAACAACTTGTTTTAAAGATCTGATTAAATGTGAAAACATACAATCTAGCATCAGACGGGTGTCCCTCACAAGTTTAGTGAATTCCCCACCAGACATCAGATGGCAGCTATTTCTTCTAGGTGATGTCAGAAGACACATAGCTGAAAAGGATTGGGCATTCCCATAAATACTGATAGTTTGTACAGTCAATTCTAGAGCAAATTTGTCCTTTAAATTCAGTGGGAAAAAGGTAAACAAAAAGCTTCAGAGATTGTATGTTTGTCAATTTTGGTTAAGTCCAACCGAAAACTTAAATGAAGGCTTAAATGTACTGTGTTCTTCTGAAAATAAGTGTTCCCAGATTATGAAACTTAACTGTTGAACATGAAAATTATTACTTGTTACTGTCTGTCTTATTGGTGCACTCTTGTTTTCTCAAGAGCCACTTCACCTTAGCTTGTGCATGCTGCCTTACTGGTTTGTACTTGTGTTCTGATTGTCATATTACTTCTTGAGCACAAGAACACATGGAGATCTCCACAGATAGATAGGAGAATGGTGCGACAGTGATACAGAACCTCAAGGGCAGGCAAGGATGTCTTTCCATTTGGAAAGGGCATCACAGTTATTGCTAGCTCAGTGACTCAGCTCCCATCCTGGCAGATCTCCCCTTTGCTCTGCATGCCGAGAGCTGCCCCATAACAATAAGTCAGCCAAGGGAATTCTTCTTGGATATAGAGAAGGGGCTGTGGCTTTCATTAGACCCTGCTTTTCCCTTTTGCTTTAGCCAAGACCATTGTCAAAGCTGATTAGCAAAAGCAGTCAGACATCTGTGATGTGGGAGGTGGCTTGAGTGAAGCCACTACACCAGAATCAGCAAGGAGGTTTTAAGTAGAAAACTTCAGTGCTATTTTGCCCTGATTGTTGGCAGTGTAACTCCCTGTACATACCTGTGGAACATGTGGCTCTCTTAATGTGTTTGCAGGGGAAGAGGCCCCCAGCACAGCCTGTTTGTTAGTTCTCTTCCAGTTGCTTGGGCTGAGGGAAGCGCTTGTTGACTGCCGGCAATACTGGCGGCACTTTTGTCTGAGTTTGCTAATAACTGGAAGGTTCTTGGCAGACATACAAAGCAAACTGTGTGAGGGCAGATACGCGACACGGCACCAGCTGCCAGCAAGCTGCTCTACGCAGCAAGGACTGGGACTTGGGGCACTGCCACTGAGCAGCAGCTAAGAGTGTCCTGCAGAGGTCAGGCATGGGCCCTTCTCCACCCGCAGACCAGCAAGTGGCTGCCTGGGCCTCTGGTTAGGACCTGTTCCAGTAGGAGGTGCTTTTTTTGATCTAGATCAAACACTGCCTGAAGGAGCAGTAACTGGGATAAGGAGGCAGTGCTGCATTGGCAATAGGAATCAGCCTGATTTCTGGCGATTCCTGTGCCTGTCACAGTGAGCTTTTATGAAAAGAGGTGTTCAGCTCAGACTGACACTTGCTGGCCCTACTTCAGGCTTTGACAAAGCTTTCAATCTAAATGTCCCTAAAGTTTCTACTCACACCTGCTCTCAGGCTCCTTAAAATCTTATTTTCCTGAAATGTTCCTTGAGGAAGCCCCAGGCCTGTGTGCACACACATGGCTGTTAGGATGTCTTGTTCCCACCAGGCTGTCCCTTCCTTGCATCACAGCTGCAGGTTAGACTTGCTATTATCTTTTCCAGATTTGGGGGAGGGGTGGGTAAGGAGGTAAGAAGTAACGCATGGCTTTCTACATTAGTTTCTGGTACAACTCAAAAACGAAGTGATCGCATAGGCGCCAGTGGTAAGCTTTTACTTTGCTTCTCCTTTAATTTTTAAAAACACTTCAATATTTTAATGTCCTGACCAGCAGCAGTACAAACACTAAAAGCAAGGGTTCCCCCCCCCAAGAAAAACAAAAACAAACAAAACCCCCAAACAAGAAAAACAAACAAAAAATTCCCCAAACCACATATTAAAAATGGCAGGCTTTATAACAATAATTAAAGTAATAAAAACATACAAAACTTTGTTTTTTAAGATATATACACAGTACAAGGCTGAAGCACCTTTGACTTTTCTCTCAAAATTTACGTTTATATGAAAACACCCCCCCCAATCCCACAATAACAATTTTGGGGGCATGAGTATCTGTATATGTAGGGCTCTGTACATTCTCCCCCACAGAGTAACAAAAAGGTACCTTCAGTTTGTGGGTTTGTTTTATCCTCAGTTAAGAGCTTTTCCAGGGAAAAGCCTTGGACTGCTCTGTGTGCTCCTAGGACCTGTTGCTCTGAAGATAAATTAACTTTTGCAGATTAGTAAGTAAAACAAATAAGGCCTTTAAAATGCACCCAATCTTTTCGGCTGAGGCAAGCCTTGCTCCTAGGGAGGAGGGAGGCCAACCCTGTGGCTGCAGCAACAGCAAACTTGAGTTCTTGTGGTACAGTAACATGGCAACACAAGAAATAAAACCAGCCGGGTCTGATCCAGTCACATGCACTGGGGGTGATTGATACATGACTTCATTTAGTGTTGGTAATGGAGCCTTCGTTCTCAGATTAAAAAAATAAAAAATGACACAGGGGAAGAAGGAATAAAACCGCCTTTAGAAAGGAAAACTAGGGGCATCCTACACTGTTTGCTCGCTGAGTGACAAAGGTGATTTGATTGCATTGAAGTCAAGGTGAAGTTTTTTCTGGAGCCTGGAATCCTTTGCTTCATGCATGGCACATTCTCATTTTTTAAGCTTCAAACCTCCCAGTGAAAAATATTAAATATTCAAGGTAATAAAATAGATAATATTTCTATTCTATAGGTTCAGCCTAGTGCAAGGGAAACCGTCACCTCGGATATCCCTTAAAGTAGCCCCTAGGCCAATGCATTGCAGGCAAGGCAAGGCACTTCCGTAAGTGGTCCAGTTCTGCCTGGAGCCGCTCCCTTTCTGATACAATCTTCTGCTTCTGACTCCTCAACTCCTAGGGAGAGGAAAACACACGTCAAAACAAAACTCATTCCATCTGTAAGCAAACATGAGCAGGCTGCAGGCCTGAATGTTCTAGATATGGCACTTTGGCCTCTGGGAACTCTCTTCACTGGTTCTGTTTCAGGTTCTGATTTTTCCAGCTCTTGAAAAATCAGAGTGCACTGCTGCCTTAGCTCAAAGGCTAAGGCCTTGAAACTCCCAGGTTTAAAAACTTGAGCCCTGCCCAAAAGGTGGTGGATGGAGGACCAGCAGCACTGACACAGGCTAAGAGTGGGCAGGAGAGGCTCTTTGCTTCAACTTTTCCTTCTCCAGTAAGATCCTCTTCTGCCCTCCTTAGCAACTCACAGTAGGGCAGCCTGATTAAGGCAATGAGTAATTTTCCAAAGGGGTATGAAACAGCAGCTCTGTTGTTCCAGGATCAATATTCAGCAAGTTAAAGATTACTCAAGATTCAGCTATGGAGGGGAATTATCAACTGATGCCTGAGTTTTCTCTCTGAGACTACAAGGTTTGAACTCTTAACAGCAGATTGCACCTCTCAAATGGGCCTATATGGACTATGAACATGCTCCCCTCCCTGTGTGTCTGGAGAATGGAGACTCACCGCCATGCTGTGGGAGAGCTGCTCTGCAGTCAGACTGAGGCTGTAGTGCTGGGCCTCCAGCCGCCGGCACTGTGTCTGTAACACCTGCCGCTCCAGGTTTTGCTCTGAAAAAATGAGGTAGAAATATATTACCCTGGTATGGGCTGTGCCCCGGTCTCCAGTGCAGTCAGCAAAAGTCCCTCCTCCTGTGGATATCATTCTTCTAGTCCTTTCAGTTGCATCAATGAATACTAAACTCAGCCAACTCAAGGTAATGATAAATGACCTTGAGTCAAACAGCAATTTTTTTTTTTTTTTTTTGTGGTACTAGGGTTTGAACTCAGGGCTTATACCTTGAGCCACTCCACCAGCCCTTTTTGTTTTTTGTGATGGGTTTTTTTTTTTCAAGATAGGGTCTCTTGAGCTATTTTGCCTGGGCTGGCTTTGAACTGAAAATCCTCCTGATCTCTGCCTCCTGAGTAGCTAGGATTGTAGGCATGCACCACCGGCACCTGGCACAAAGGGCAATTTTAGAGACAAGGATTAGGGGCTGGTGACATGGCTAAAGTGGTAGAAGCACATGACTAATATTACTAAATATAAAAGGCCTGATTGCAAATATTTACAGCCTAGTACCACCTAATAAAAATGGAAACCTCAATGTGGTAATAAACTGCAGAAGGCGTTAGTAGTGGTGGCCTGAGGGTAGAGCCTAAGATTTCCAGTCCACTGTGGTGGGCATGTCCCACACAACCCATCTGTACCTTCCCACTCTGTACCTTCTATGTGTTCTTGGTAAGCTTCAAAAATTGCCTCAATTCCTTGCCACTTGCGCCAGGGGGCTTCTTCATCCTCCTCTTCACTGTCCTCGTCATCTTCATCCTCTTCGTCTGACTCTCGGTCTATCATATCCTGCATGGGAGGACCCTTTCTCCCAGCTGGGGGCTCCTGTTGCCCATTATGCTGGGGCAGGGAGACCCGGCTGGAGGACTGCAGCTCAGGAATGTTGTAGTGGACAGATGTGTCAACCTTGTGGTTCTGATCTGCAGACAGCACAGCTGTGCTTCCTGGGGAGGAGAAAACAAGCGTCACAGGAGTGGATGTTCTCCAGGAAGACCAGAAGTAAGGGGTGAGGTGGGGTGGGGGAATGTCTGCAGAAACCTCTGGTCCAACACAGCATTATTAAGGGATAGTGACAAGCAGCCGCAGAGGTGGTGGTAGACCCGAGTTCTCATCAGCCAAGTTCATCTGAGTTTGAATGTGTGGGCTTGAGTGTGGCCAGAGCTAGCCCTCAGTAAATGCCACCCCTCCTGTGTGACAGGCACAGCTGTTTTAGTCCCTGGGTGCAGTGGGGTTTTCCACTCCCAGCAGGAAGGTCGCTTGGCTGTGACCTATGTAAACAACCTGCAGCATCTGGTGGCACAGAGCTACTGGTGGCCACTAGGGCTCACTGCTTCCTGGAGTAGGTGAGCCTGAGCTTCCACAGCCAGTGGACTGGTTGGGCTCAGATTGGCATGGAAGGAAAACTCCAAAGTCTTAAAGAAGGTGTGAGATAAAGGCAGGACTCAGCTACTCAGAGGCAGAGATTAGGAAGCAAACTGGCTGTGGTGGTGCATGCCCTACGTTGGAGGCCATAGGTTGGAGGGTCATGGTCCAGGCTAGTCTGGGTAAAGGTAAGACCCTGCCTGAAAAATAACTAAAGCAAAAAAGTACAGGGGGGCATGGCTCAGGTGGTAAAGCACCTGCCTAGCAAGTTAGAGGCCCTGAATTCAAACACCATTACCACCCTCCAACCCCCTCACCACTCCAAAAAAAAGCCATGCTGGGACCATCTGGAAGGAAGACATTTTTCAAGTTCCTACAAGTACCTCAAAATCACTGTGATAATGTTCTTTAGATGTCACCATGAAGGAAGGAGAACCTCCAACCTGAGGAGCAAGGACCCATCTGCCTCTTAAGGAAACCTATCTTAAAAAAACAGGATTCTTGGGAGTGTGGCTCAAGAGTAAAGTGTCTGCTCTGCAAGCACGAAGACCTGAGTTCGAACCCCAGTCCCACCAAAAAAAGTTCTTCCAAATACATGACAAAAATCCAGTAACACATCCCTTAGTTTTTGTGTCCCCCCACCCCGACCACCAATGCTGGAAATGGAATCCAGGGGTCTCATACAGGCTAAATTCACCACCCTAGCCCTGCGGAGTCTTGAGTCTTTTTTTTTTTTTTTTAAGCAAAGCCCAGTACCACCAAAGTCCTTTCTAGGGAACTTATTCAGTTGTGCTGACAGTGTTAACTTAGGTGGAAGGCCCTGTCTGTCAGCTGAATGTCTGAAAGCATTTTACCTGTTAGCTCAGGTTTATGGCTTGGAGTAATAAACACTTAAGCACAGTTTTGGCATGATGACTAAATTATTTTCTTCTGGCTATTGAAGTTTACAAAAATGTGTTCCATGCTCAGTCATTTAATTGTTGAGGATTCTTTTCTAATCAATTTGACTTTTGATTCACTGATAGTAATCCCCATTCTCTGACGTTCAGCGAGTCCTACCACCATGGCAAAAGGTCAGGAGACTCGAGTAGGGGGGAGAGGGCACGGCAACTGTTATGTCACTACACACAGGCTGGGGTCCCATGGAATGGGTACACAACTGGTGCCTTGTTAAGGGACCGGAGAGCACTCCAGGTTGAGTTCTATGGGGGTACTTGGGAAGTTCCTCTGCTGGAGAATGCAGAGGATAGCTTTGGTCAGCAAGACACCTCTTCTGACCTTACTAAATTCAGATGGCGCCACCTGCTGATTGCTTGGGAGTGCGGTCCACACACAAGTTCGTTAAGCTCACTGGGAGGCCTCTTAGAAAAGACCCGTAGCTGCCAAGCTCCCCGGGTGCCTCACGTGCACTGAGGTTTCAGATGCACTGTCATTGTGTGTATGGTGGATGGTGCGAGCCCAGAGCCACTCTGAGCCGCTGCTGGCATGCAGGAACATCAGCCAGTCTAAGGTAACTTGGGACCAGAGTAAGACAATGGCCTTGTTTACCTTTGTGCTTCTGCAGGGCTTTCTGGGTAGACTGCAGCACAGATTCGTGGAACTGATGTGCAAACTCTTCTGCCACAAAGGGCTCCCAGGGCTTGCTCTTCCCGTTGATGCTGTGGGACAATGGCACAGGAATGTCCTTGGGTGCAGTACCCCGGATGTAATGAAGCATGCTCAGGCTCTTCTTGCCCCTGGGAGCCTCATTCAGCCTGGCCTTCTCACCGCTGGTAGGAGCTGGTTCCTGGACTCTGGATAGCTCCTGGGACCGCAGTTGTTCTAGTCTCCCAGCCTCCACAGCCTTTGGGACTTCGGATAAGGAGGCAGCAACCCCAACAGGCTTATCCGTCTCCAGAGAAGCTGGCTGCATGGGTGGTTCTTTGAGAGAGAGAAAGTGGGGGCACTGTTAAGAGCTGGAAGTTAACAAACATGTGGACCCTGAGCGCTAGGAACTTACATCTAACAAACGAAAGACCTAAAGCAAAGAACCAAGACTTGGGGACACTGAATTAGCCACCTGTGCGTGCAGGCACTGTCTGAAGTGGTGTGTTTAGTAGCAAGTCCATCCTCGAATGGTACCCCAGAGAACATCAGCAGGAAGAAGCAAGTCATCAGAAAGGTGGGGGAGTTATTTGCTCCGACTTGGCAAGAAAGAGCACATGGTTAAGTTAAGAGGAGGCTGGACCATAGGATTCCCTGTTTCCTTCAGCAGGGCAGAGGTGCCACCAGACGTAAGAACACAGAAAGATGTGAAAGCAGGTGTTGGTGAGGCCAGGAAGGAAGGATGAGCAAGACAGCCTGGGGAAGAGAGGTAGGGTGGGGCAGGCAGACAGCCCAAGGGCCTCCTGCCCAGGATAGAACTTCAGGGCTCAGGCCCCATCCGCTGGTCTCCAGATAAGGCTCTGTGTCTCAACTGAGGGATGGCGAGCTGACTGCCAGGCTGCTCTGTGGAGCTGGCACCCTCCCGAGCTCTGTGCCTCCCAAGGCCCTGCACAACTGCGCGCAGACCGCAAACTGTAAGGGGGGTGGAGAGAAGTGCAGTTGCTGGCAGGTCGGGTTCACGACGAAGATGACCTTGAGTGTCACCTCTGACCCTAGGCAGCCATGGTACTGGGCAGTGGCTAGTGGGGCTTCCTTCCCTTACCACTCAGGGAGATGATAGGACTGTCCCTCGGAGAGTTTGTCAACGAGTCTGCCGCTGCCGCCGACAGTGACCTCTGCTTCATGGCATGGAGCATTTCAACAAGTCTCTCTCTGTCTGTGAGAAAAGCAGCCTGAGATTAACGAAGCAGTTGCATCATTTCTGAGAGGGAGCAAAGGCAGGAGTCTAGCCTGGCTGTGACTGGCAGGTGCAAGCCCTTAAACCAAGAAGAACCAAAAGCAAGCGCCACGGGATAGCCGTGTTGACAGGAGGAAACCGCATGTGAAAGCAGGCCCAGGTTCCTCTTGGCTTTCACTGCACGTTTTAGATGTGCTCCAGAATAGCTGTGTGCGCAGTGCTTATTATGATGCTGTAACCAGCTGGTGCCTGTGGTCTTCTGTGGTGGCTTCTCAAGAGGTGTTTTTATTTAAAGACAAAAGCACTGGCCCCCAGTGCAAGGAGACACGGGCCCGTGCAGGCCTCTGGAACAGTGCCCCTGCCCCCATGACTCCTGGTGCAACCCAAGTGCAGTCCCAGGACCCTGGCCACTTCGTGAAAAATGAACGCAGACGCCAACTTGCTGCACACCACAGATTCTTTTTTCAGTGGTGTTTGTTGCCAACTCTGAAACGTAAGAAGCCACAGCACTGGTAGCTCCCTCTAGAAATTCAGTCAGGTGAAAAGACAGGTTTTACTAACAACTAGGCACCTTTCCTGGGGTTTGTGCTGGCAGTCAGCCCATTGCTAACCCTTGAAGGGGAAGCAAAGGCTCCAACTTGCTTGTTTATAGATGGCAAATAAACTGCTCGCCCCGACAGACAGACACGCTGAAGCAACTCAAAAACCCAGGGGGACTCTGCCTTCCTGTGACTTTCTTCCACAGAGGAGACCAGGTGTCCACAAGGAGACTTGGAGGAACACAGGAAGAGGCTGTGTCCATCAATGTCAGCACTGAGCCAGCATGTTGGCAGAGCAAGGATGTAGAAGCCCTAAGGAAGAGGTTCAGCCAGCATTTCTTCTGCACTGTGAACTTGTCCACAGGGTCTCCCCAACATGGCCTTGGTGACCAGACCGTCTGGAATCATCTTTCTGGGCAAGCCATCTGCTCAGCGTGTTGACTGTGCCTGGTGGCTACAGGCCTTCCCTACAGCTCCCTCCCCAGGTCTCCGACCATCAGAACATAAAGCCCAATGGGCGTCACTGGCGGTCCTCCCAGAGGAAAAGCCTGCAACACAAAGGAGGACACCCCTCCCTCATTCCAAGGTGGAGTTCCCCAAGTACTCTGTTCAAAAACCCACCCGCTCAAGCACTAGGACAGGTAAGCAAGCAGAGCAGCCATCAGCCGAAGACAGTGTGTTTGTGCAGGAGTATCTTAATCTTCATATCCATGCAGGACACAGTAAGAGAAAGAGGGCTTGAAGCGTGTGTGTGGGAAGTATCAGAGCAAAGTACGTCAGGTAAGCACCATGGGGTGGGCCTGCCCTGTGCACAGGTGCATTCCACAGCACACACCGTTCTTCCCCCCACTCAGGTCACAAGGCCATACCTTTCCTCTTTTCAGCACTGATGTGGGTCAGGTTGAAGATAGTCAAGAACTTCCTCTTCTCCTCGAAGTTGGGGCTGTTGTTCATGTCGTCAGGGCTGTATCGGGTGGACAGTGCCAGTCTGGGCGAAGGCGTCTGTCGCTTGCTCTGAACGGCCGGCGGCGATGGGCTTCTCTCTCTCAGCATCCGCCGTCGTTTCCTCCGCTTCTGGGCCACCAGTTCCTCCTTCTGCTGTTGGGTGGTCAAGCCAAAAAGTTGCAAAAACTCTAGCTTCTGGATTGGGAAAGAAAACAAATGAGCTTGAAACCACTGGCAGTGGCATGCTTTCACTGTCCCAGAGGTCCCCCACCTGGGGCCCTTGAAGCTTGTGCCATGGTTGACTTGACGTTAGACTGCAGAGGAGCCAAAGGGACTGGGGTGCTTCGAAGCCAAGATGCACAATGTGGGTACCAACAACCCAGCCCCAAACATACTGAAGGCAAAGAGGATCCAGTACCTCAGAGGATGTGTCCAGTTTGAGGGGTGGCTGCTCAGCCACACAGCGGAGGTGGGCCCTGACCTCCTCCTCGTCACTCTCGTCGTAAGAGTCATCAAGGTCATAGTAGTATCCTGATGGCAGAAATGAGTGTACTCAGCCAAGTGAGGAGCTCTGGGTGCTCCCAAGGATAGGCACCCAGGGGCATATAGGAGGGCAGTTATAAGCCTGGCCCTCTGCCCACCTGCAAATCAAGAGCAGGCATAGCAGGGACCAGGCTTCCCTGGGCTAACAATGACCCCACCAGCAGGGGACTATTCATCACAAGGGCCTGGTGTCCATGGCTGTTTGTGCACAGGTACTCCCTCCTGCTGTGGTCACCTGGGCTTATCCCCCTTGCAGGAAGGGATGAGCATAGAGAAGAATCACAGGGCCCCTACTTTCCAGGCATAAAATGGTCCCATTGTCTTTTGCAAGGGGAATGGGGGAGAAAAGCCCTGGTTGGGCCTTAAATCTAGCCTACCACCCCAGCTCTGGTTAAGAGAAGCCAAGTTCAAAGCCCAGCTTAGTTGCACATGTCTATAGTTCCAGCACTCAGGAGGCTAAGGATGGAAACTTTGAGGCCAAGCTGGGCTATACAGACAAACCTTGTCTCAAAACAAAGAACAAAAAAGAACAGAGTGCAATACTAGACAGGATTTAGTTTCCAGGAGAAATGAAACTGGTTTGCAGCCCGATGTGTCCTTACCAGGTGTCTGCTGAAGACCTGAGTGCCTGAGCCCTCTTGGCCTATTCCCCCCAAGCACTGTGGGGGATTGGGGTGTTATGAGCTGAGCTGCCCCCCTCCTCAAGCAACAAGAAGGAGGTACCTGACTCCAGGCCTGGCCTGGGACAATGCCAGCTGCTGCCCCTCACTCCCTAGCCCACCTGCTTGCAACTGATGCCAGTCCTGTATGTGCTGGGCCCAGGCCTGCCCTGTTGTCAGCGTGCTTGCCCATTAATGCTGCTTTAATAAAAAATGTAGACACCTTGTCAGGCTCCATTCATCACTTATTAGTCATGTGTCTGAAGCACTGTCTTTACAGACATGCTTTGATTTTGCCTTTTTGGGACAATGTGCATCATGACAGAACATTACAAGAGGCCTAGTGTCTTTTGCTCCCACAGAGATGTCAGGTTGCCACACTGAAGTCTGAACTTACTACCAGAAGCCTACCTAAAAACCCCGCAGTGCAGGCAGGGGTGGGAGAAGGGGAGGTGAGCTGTTGGTACTAAGGGTCCCTTGTTCCCAGGCAGGTCCCCCCAGGAGGCCAGACCTTTCTCCTTGGCCTCGCGCCGCCTGCGCTCCTCCAGGTCCAGCTTGCTGACCAGTCTCCGGCGCTGCTGTAAGAGCTCATCGTAGATGTAGGCAGGATCAGGGCCCCGTGGGGTGGGAGAGCAGTAGGGGGAGCCCGGCTTCAGGTGCCCACTGAGCTCCCCAAAGGGGGATGCCTGAGGGAGGGAGGCCCGCTGCTGGCCCAGGATGGTCTGTGCTGACTTCTCAAGCTCGGCAAGGAAAGGCCCAGGCCCATGAGGGAAGACCTGGGGCTCCAGGCTTCCTGCCTCCCTCGGTGGTGGCTGGTACTTGTCCAAGGTAGTGGCCTCATGCTTTCGGGCCTCCTCGGCCTTCTCTGGGCAGTAGACGCGCTCCACTTTCACCAATGGCACAGCAGCCTGGCGGCTGGGCTCAAATGCACCCGGGTGGCTGTGCAGAGAGTGGCTCTCAGTTCGCCGTGTCTCCAGGGTATTGTCCATCAGGGACACCGGATTCCAGAGGGCGGTGGACACAGTGTGGTGCGGGGGCTTGGGTGAGATCAGAGGTGGCGGCCCACCAAAGTGCTGTGGGGGATCGCGGCTGCCCTGCTCATGACGGTTTGGTCCTGGCCTAGGGAGTGAAGGTCAGCTCATCAGTCATGGGGAGTAGACCAGCCAGCCAGCGAGGCCCACCATTTCTGCCACTTACACAAGTCTCCACAAAGAACGGCCTTCATCCTCGTTTTCTACAGGGAAAGCAACCCCTTGCTGGAAGGGTGGCCCTGCCACCAGCCTTCCTCAAAATACGCCAGGTAAGCACCAGGCAGGCAACAGAGCAGACCAGCCACCTCCACGGGCTGCTGACGCCTCTCCCCCAGGTCCCGGGAGGAAGTCATCAAGCTACAGACAGGAGGCCAACCCACTCTGGGAAAACCTCTTACACAATGGGGGCCTGTGCGCCCCACCTCTCCCACCATGTGACAGCTACATTTAAAGGGTCTTCAAGGACCTGGGCAGGAGAATGTCCAGGGACCTCTAACATGGAGCGCTTCCTTCACAAAAGCTCTGTCTTGGACTGTGAAAAATGATTCCTCAGTGCATTTCAAACAAAGCACTTAGGAAAGGGCTACTGGAGAGCTTTCTCAAAGGTGTTTTGTTTTGCTTTAAAAGGAGGTACATGGGCTACTTGGATTCTTGCCATCCGCAGGTCTGGCTGAGACACCGTTTACCACAGCCACCAAGGCTGCGTCTATTTACTGCAGACTTGGACTTGCAGTGAGAGCAACCGACGGGCAGCAGAGCACAACAGGGAATGACATCAACAAACCATGTCTCTAGGTAAACAGCAAAGGAGTAAAAAGCCACTAGCAGAATAAATACTTCACGCACCAGAGTTAAGCACTGAACAGTTTCTGAGCTGACAGCAAAAGGGCCCTGTCAGAATGTCAAGGTCATGCTACTATAAGGCCATATGTGACCAAGCCCAGATACCTGCACAGGGTCCTGGGAGCCCCAAGAAAGAGGCTGCCTGGGGAACTGGGCCATCCAGATTTGAGCGTATAAGGCTAGGCATGAACCCAATGCCTTTGCAGCTTCCTAGGTATGAGCAACTCAAGAAAGGCAAGTCAGCAGGGCAAAAGGAAGCCATGAGCTGTGAAATGAAACCCTGCAAGGGCTCAGGTGGCCAAGAGAGGCAGAGAGCATAGGACAGTGGACCTTACTGCAGCTGCTACGGGGCAACTTGGTCCCTCTTTGCCCTACTCAAGATGAGCAGGAAAGGAAGAGGAGGGAGCAGAGAGGCATCTGTGTCCCTATGATCCCAGCCAGCTGAGGGCTGGATCATGTAATCTTCCTGCTCCACCCTTCCTTTGTGCACAGCTGAGGAAACTGAGGCCCAGAGACCAGAAGCCATGTTCCTGGGTTGGGTGAGCACTGCCCCTAGAGCAGGATACCCAGGCAGTGGGAACAGGGAGGTCTGAGGCACTAGGGACCAGCTCACAAAGCCAATGTCAGCAGCCAGGGTCCCAGGAACAGGCATAATTCTCCCAGGGAAATCTTTTATAACGGGGCTGAAAAAAAATGGTTAAGCCGCTGGGTGCCAGTGGCGCACACCTATAATTGTAGCTACTCAGGAGGCAGAGATCAGGAGGATCGCAGTTCAAAGCTAGCCCAGGCAAACAGTTTATAAGACCCTATCTTGAAAAACTCTTCACAAAAATAGGGCTGGTGTAGTGGCTCAAGGTGTAGGCCCCGAGTTCAAGCCCCAGTACTGCCACCCCCCACAAAAAAACCATGCTTTTTCTTCAATAGTAATGAAAGACAGTCCCCTTCTTTTAGAAAAAGCACTCCCTCCACCTGCCAGCCCAAGCTGTAAAGGGGAAATGGACAACAGATCACTAATAACCAAGGCTTCACATTCTGCCAAGCTGGACCTGGGCTTGGTGGGCTTACTCACGGCGGGGTGCCTCTAAGCAAGTCACTTTCCTCCTCAGAGTCTCAGCTTCCTCATAGGCAAGGTGAGGATTAGAACCCCACCTGGAAGCACATGAAGATGTTGGGCCAGATGCGATTGCTCAGTAAATGTGGGCTGTGAACACTGAACTAGAAGCCACATGGCTTCTGGCCCTACCTGGTGCTCTCTGGCCTGTGCTCAGCCTCCGAGGGCACAGGCGGCCGGCCCATGTCCAGGTGCTGCTCCAGCACCTGCTGGCGGAACTCTGACACCTGCGACTGTCGGTCCTCTTTCTCTTGCCGCAGCCGTCGCTGTCGCGCCAGCCACTTTTCCTCCTCGTTGGTGCGCTGGATCAGCAGGGCCGTGGTGGCACTGCTGCCCGGCAGAGAGAAGATGGCATGGTTGGAGATGAGGCTGGGCACTGTGTGGTGCGGGGTGGGCACTGGGTGCAAGGGGTGCTGCACAGGCTTAGGTGCCTGCAGGCCTGCATCCTTCAGCTTCTCTGTGGAGAGAAACACTGTCACAGCAGGACCCCAGCACCCTCGCCCCTTCTCGAGCACCCACATCAGTCCACAGGAACAAAACCTAAAAGCAAGGTTAAAATAGCTGGCTACGTTTTACCATTTGTCACGCTCTCAGGGCTACCTCCACCGACTGTGTCTATAGGGGGTGACACTGTGCACCTTTTCCCAACCCCACGCTCACTGACATCACCACCCTGTGGCTTGAAGTCAACCATGGTGGGAGCGCTTGCACCACGGCAGCTGGCAAGCTGGCAGAACCAGGGCTCTTTACAGAGCTTGGTGCCAGCATGCTCAGCCTGCTGGGCGTGTAGGCCTCTCAGCCCAGGTACCTGCTCGGGTTGGGGTCAGCTGCTCCGAGGGCTTGACCCGCTCCTCGGGGACATGGCTGCGCAGCCCATGCAGCTCAGCCACAGGCAGGAAGGCAGGCTCTAGAGTCTTGGCAGCCAGCAGCTCCTTCTCCCGGGCCCGCTGCTCCCGCTGGCGCTCTAGCTCCCGCTCTCGCTCCTTTTCGCGCTCCCGTTCCAGCTCCTTTTCCCGTTCTCGCTCCTTCTCCCTTTCTCGCTCTCGCTCCTTTTCCCTCTCCCGGTCGGCTTCCCGCTCCCGTTCCCGCTCTCTCTCTCTCCGTAGCTCTTCATCCATCTGCAGCCTGTGGAGTAAGAAGAAAGGGCTTGGGAGCTCTTTGGGATAGAAGCTGGGACAGCCTAGTAAAGGGGATGCCCAGAACGAAGTGCACCAAGCCCGGGACTTCCATGTGGATGGCGACTGGGACAGGCAAGCCTCTCCTCTGTCTCTCACTAACGTGTGAAGAAACCATACAACCACAGTGCATAGAGAACCCCCGGCATCAGGAAGCTCCTCAGCCCGTCAGGCACTTCTGACAGGCTCGAGTGCAGAGCTGTCAAGCACGTACCACCAAAATCCCAGCTAGCAAGTGAAGAAACAGGACAGAACAAGGCTAAAGATTCTGTCCAGCCACCCGCAAAGCTGCTGAGCCAGGCCCCAGCCTGGGCTTTTCTCCCAGCTGCTATCTGGGAACAGGACAGAGGGGCTCTGCTGTCCCTTAGCCAGGACAAAACTTACCTCTCTGCACTAAGACCAGACATTCTCTCTGAGTGCAGTGCTGCCAGGGACGAGTGGGAGAGCTCAGGCGGGTAGCGGACCCCAGAGAGGTGGAGGTGCATCGCTGACGGGTGCAGTGGAGGCAGGGAGCCAGGGGTGGGGATGGGGTAGAACGGGGACCTCAGGGCCGACAGGCAATAGGAGTCGTCCATCCTATATGAGAAGATGGGACTGGTGAGTGCCAAGGTCACACACACACACACAAAAGCCAGGTTTGCCTACCTTCACAAAGTCCTGGGTGCAATCCCCAGCACCACCCCCCCCCAAAAGGGTAAGTCCGGCCCCGTCAACAGCAGCTCGGCAAGGTGGGCCACCGGTTACCTAAGCATCATCTACTGCCAGAACACAGGGTGCTGACAGTGCAGGGTTCCAGAGGCCTGCCTCCGCCCCTCTCAGGCCAGCCACGTGGGCACACGCGGGCCACATACAGAGGCCTCTCTGGTCTCATTAGCAGGTCAGGCTGGAGGCCCACGGCATGACTTCCGCCAGAATTACTGTCATACTGCCCAGAAGTCCCTCTTGTACACATACCACATGCTATTTGTGAGTACAATCCCAAGAGCTGTTGGGTTGACTGGGTTTGAACTCAACTGGGAGCTGGGGAAAGCTATGGCGGCTGCAGGTCTCCCTGGGTGCCTGGCTCACCGGTCCCCAAAAATGGCCTTCCCCATGAGATCCCGTTTTGCGGAGACCGGACCAGCTTGAAGCGTACATGGGGGATGCCTTACCTGAAGGCTGGGTGGGGGAAGGGGTGCGGGGTCAGGTAGCTGGGGTGGTAATAGGCAGCAGCGGTGGCAGGGTCCAGGCCAAGAGGGGGCAGGGAGGACATGCGCAGGTCATCGGTGTGGTAGGGCCGGAAGCTTCTCAAGTAGTCCTCGGTCACGGTGCTGGGAGGCACCACGTGGTGCACGGGTCGCTGGAGGCTGCAGGCAGGGACAGAACAGGAGACAGATGAGTGGAGAGCAGGTTGCATGCTGGGAAACAGTTCACTTTCCTGCAGTCTCTCAGGCAGCTCAAGGTTAAGGTCGCCCTTGCCATCCCACTTCTAGTACAAGTCTTCCTCCTGCTAATGACAAATGGCCCTGGCAGGAGGCCCAGGACACATGAGTGGGCAGCTGCTACTGCAGCCTAGAGGAGCTCCTGGCTCCCAGGATCCAAGGGTGGGCTCAGGTGAGGTTGAAGCAAATGACAATCACAGTGTGGAGAGGACAGCGGGCAGAGCTGGACATAGAGGCCAGTGGCTATCTGGTGACTCTCCACCGCAGCTGGTGAGACCACAGAGCTGGCCAGAGCCTGCCTAGGGGACCCAGGGCAGTACCCTCCCTGCCCTGGCTGAGCACTTACTTGAGTGGTGGAAAGCGGGAGTCCTGCACCACCGAGCCGGGGGACAGGCCGAAGGGGTAAGGGGTGCTGAGCAGGTGGGAGGGGATGGCTGGGCCTCCTGCTTTTTCCTGGGGCAGTGGTGGCTCCACGATGAGGCGCTCCCGACCACTGCTGCCGCCCCTCGAGCCAGTGTCCTGCTAGAGGACAGGATGCAGGGTCAGGGCTGAGGAGCTGAGCCAGGCCCACCCACGGAGGCCAGCAGCAGCTAGTTCAGAGCACTGCCACCGGGAAGCCAGGGTTTCCTCAGACTCACAAAGGCCTCGAGTTTAGCTCGTGCTTTAGTAATGTCCTTTCTGTATGGCTTTCTACACAAAAAACACGAAATCATGGTATGGGAGGAGGGATGGTAAGACAAGAGAGGAGGATACAGGCTCTAATGACCAAGTCTGGACTGAAGCCTGCAGGGGCCTCTCTCCACCCTTGCATATTGAGGGGACAGAGCAATACAAGGGAACCTGGGGCCTCCCCCAGGACTACTGGGCCCTAAGATATGTGCCTGGGACAGGACACACACAGCAAGGACCCTACTTCTTCTAATAACCAGTTCCTTATAGTATGGACATGGGGTCATAGCACACCCAGATGGGGAACAACCTGGCTGTCAGCTCCAGCATCTTGGGAAGGGAGCTCCCCCACCAAGCTGTCTCCTGTGGCCACAGGAAGCTGGTATTGCCCCAGCCAGCCCAAAGGGAGGCCCCAGGCAACTGCTGGGCCTAGTGGGCTGGATCTATTCGGGGGGCACAGTTGCACACATGGCGGGGGGGGTGGAATCCAAGGAGAACCAGAGGAGAGGGTCACTCCAGGCATGACAAAGGAGGAAGAGGCAGCCCCAGGACCTGCCCCACCATCCGAGGTGCCAAGACCAAGGGGGGATTGCACCCTAGCCATGGGGAACATTCTGTATACTGGTCCATGGCAGTGTCCAGCCCAGAGAATGAAACCACAAAGGGTCCTGCCTGTCCTTGTCATCTGTGACCAAGGAGCCACAGGGCAAAGATAGAGCAGTGCCAGTAGGCCAGGGCTTCACCACCTCGGATAGCCCTCCTTGGCTGTGATTTTCCCAGTGTGAAGACATCAGTGTGACACTCAGATCTGGGGAAACCTGAGGGCCATACGGTTTCTGAGTAACCTGAGTGGCAGGAACCTGGCACAGCTCCCAGGCTCACCCTTCACATCCTCCTGACCCCTGTGTCAGCAAACCAAGGCTCCAAGGTTGCAGGCAGTGCTCCCAGAACACAGCCCAGCACCGCCACCAGCCCACACCACGCCCCCCAAGCCACAAAGTGCCAAGTACTGGAAACAAGGGAGGACCAAGGCCCTGCAACCTCTCCTTGTTGAATCAGCAACAATGGCCACTGGGCACAGACTGGCCTCCTGACCCTACTCCCCGGCCTGCTGACTTCTTGCCAGACTCCAAGCTAGCAGCGGTATCCCGAGTTCAACTAAGGCCTGCCTGGGCAGCAAGGGTCACTAAAGCGCCCTCCGAGCTATCCATCTTCACGGTCACGGTGAAGGCGGAGGAGCCAGTCATAAGCCTCCTTAACACGCTCCCTAGAAGACAGTCAGCAACGATTAATTGAAAGAGACAAGCCAGTGATTGGAATTTTTAATGAGCAGCAACATCTGCTCCCTGCCTCGTGCTCAGCTTGGCTCTGTGCTCTCAGCAGGACCCTCATAGGTTCATGTCCTCTGACCCGCCCTTCCCAGAAGGGGTGTTCATCCATTTCAAGGCTGGGGCACACACATGTCCAGCCTCGGGGTCCTCCAGCTGCTCAGGTCACCAGTGGGAAGAGGGTAGGGCATTACTTGGGGGCAGTTTCTAGGGTGGGGCTGGCTGGGTTTTCCTCCATACCCCCTACCCTGCCCAGAACAGGGTTAGGCTAAATGGGACGGCACAGCTCAGATGCTCTCAGCTGCCAGGGCCCCCGGGAAAGCTCTTGCCTGGGCTCTCCCCTGGGCTGGGGTGGAGGCCTCTGCTGCCTCAGGCCAGGTCAGCAGGGAAACAGCAGCCAAAGAGCTCAACCCTCAGCCCTCCATGACCAGCGGCCAGAGTCCCTGAGGGAGAGACCTCCATCCCAGGACAGCACCCCAACAAGCTTCCGGCGCCAGCTGCACCACCAGCTACACCACCCGGACAGTGTGGCCCCAGGCTGCCGTACCGCGTAGGGAGAGGCTGTTGAGCACACTATTCTCAGCAGGGACCATCCCTAGAATTCCCCACTCCCCTTGGCAGCTGGGCCAGATGGCACCTTCCTGGCCTGGCTGAAGACAAACAAGGAGGCCGGGAGGTTGAGGGAGCGGCCAGCAGTAGAGCAGGGGGCTCCACAAGCCAGACCCGCAGGCCTCTGGCTTCTTTCTGACTGGAGCCCAGGAACCAGGTCAGCCACCCTGGGGTGCAGCATGGGTGAGGAGGGTGGGACAGGTAGCACCCCCCCCCACCAACCCAGGCAGGGTGTAGGAGGCTCAGTGGTCACCCCAAGGCACCCCCACAGCAGCGGCTGGTGTCCCATGGCAGCCTTGGCAAACAGGCGCGCCAGGGCGCATCTGCAGGGCGGCTTATGATTGCTGAGAGGGCGGCTGCAGACGCAGCTGTAGCCATGAGGAGGAGGACGAGGGAGGGAGGGAGGGAGGGAGGAGATCCGTCATTCTCCGGTGATTAGAGGTCTCCACAGTCAGACAGGCGGGACATGCCCTGTTAGCTTCAAAATAGACCGTTCTTCATTTCATCTCTCACAGCTCCGCTCCCTGTGACACCGGTGACCCCCGAGAGGGGCCCCAAGGCCAACAGCCCCCTCAACTCCCTGCCTGTCTGTAGCCCGGGAGGCCCCTAGTGACTCATGGCCACTGCAGGCAGGGACGGCGCAACCCCTGCTCCTCCCGGGAAGGATTGAACTCTCGGCTGAGCCACACGTCATCTGCTCATCCCATCTACGCCTTCCTGTCGCCCTCCCTGGTGGCACCAGGGTCTCATTACCCACGGCGTGGTGAGCTGCCAGAGCGGAGCTCTCACGGCCCCTTCTCCGGGTTACTAAGTATTTCTGAGGCAGCAAGGACCCTCTGAGGACAGCGACAGGCTCCAGGCAGAGCAGTCATGTGGCCAGAGGCACTTGAGCCTCCCAGGGAGGAGGGACATGCACAAGGCAGCCTTCGCCAGTGACTCTGGTCAGTCAAGGCCCTAGGGCCAAGGCAGGGACAAAAAGTGACCTCTTGCAAGCTGCTCCCAGACAGGAACAAGAGTCAGTCCACCATCAACCAGGCCTGTTGCCAAGGGAGGGATGGCTAACGTCAGCTGACTCAGGGTCCCCAAGGCCAGGCTGACCCCTGGTAGGAGGAGTCTGGAGCAGGAGATCCTGGTGACAGTTCCTTCAGCCTCCCTTAAACCAAGACAGAGCCATTTCAGGCTGCTCTAAACCCCCTGTCCACTCTGTCAAAACTACACCTGGGGTAGAGGGAAGCCCAGCCAGACAGACTTCTGGGGGCAAGACAATTCTGGGCAAGCTGTTGCCTCAGCCAGAGACAAAGGAAGCAGAGGCCAAGCTGGGACCCAGGTGGGGCCCAGTCCAAAGGTACCCCAGGGCTTCAGTAATCCCTGCTGAGATCCTTCAAGATCTTCTCTCTGGATCAGGGAGTCCTCCATCCCCCAGGACTGAGCTGCCTCCCTCCTGCCTTGGGGCAGATGAAAGTGACACTAGGCAGCTGGCCGCCCACCCCACCCAGCAGGGAAGAGCTGGCAGCGGGTGTGGAGAGCGCCACTCTCCTCCCTCCTCCACTGTCTTTGTGGTTTAATTAGTATTTCCAAGTGGTGCCATCCCCCAGGGAGCTCGGCAGAAAAATCCAGGGGAAAACCGCTGCTGACAATGGGTCTTAATTAGGAATGGCCCCCTGCAGGCCTCCAGCACTGGGTGGGGGAGGTCCCAACCCTGGGCAGGTGGCTCCCAGCAGGTGCACAGGGGCAGCTCCAAGGCCAAGCTGGGCAGGTCAGCTGTGGGGCCGCCTAAGGGGCTACAGAAACCGTCAGGGCCAGGGCCTGCTGTGGGGTTCAAAGGTGAAGATGACAGACCCTGGTAAAGCACTGAGTCCTTGCCTGGTGGACTGGGCTGGCGGCCTCCCTGTCTCAGCTCCCATGGGAGCCCGAGGTAACAGCAAGTGCTGTTGTTTGTCCAGGGCTGACTGCACAGACACCAAGGCAAGCACCGTGCATGCGTGAGCTGTGCTCCATCCTAAGCCGGTGCCCTGGATGTGGCTGTGTGAGGGCGGGAGCTCTGAAGCGGCAGTTACGGTGAAATGTTGCCCAGATGGGCCTGCACTGCTCCAGCTGGGCCCTTACAGGGAGACATTAGGACACAGCACCCACACAGAGGACGGCCACCTGAGGACACGAGAGGATGCAACTGTCTGCAAGCCAAGGCACAAGGCCTCAGGAGGAACGGGACCTCCGTCTCGGGCCCTGGCCTCTGGCACTGTGAGAGATGAGTTCTATGAGGCTGTGTGAGGCAGCCTGGCGCACAGACCACCTTTACTTAAGCCTCCCGGAGCTGGGTGCCGCCATCAAGCCCGCTTTGCTGAGGCTGAGTGAGGGTGAGCCAGCTCCAGCCTGAAGTTCTGCAGCCGCCGACGGAAGCCAAGATCAATGCTCCCCCCAGGGGACATCACCTGTGCCCACCTCCCCGGCACTCACCTGGCGACTCTCGCTCCTCCAGACGCCATTGACAGTCTTGGTTGGGGCAATGGTCACCACAGGCGGTGTGCTGGGGACACTGTGGCCCCCAGGAGGGACAATGATGGGGCCCATGGGCACTCGCTTGGGTGTGCTGGCAGGGGAGCTGTGGTTGGTGGCTGGAGAAGACACGGGGGACGACTCACTGCTCAGTGAAGACCCTGCAGGAAAAGAACACAGTGGCCTGAGCAGGAGCCGCTCGCTGCCTGCCACCTGCATCCACCATAGCCGCTTCTTGGGCTCTAGGTTCTGTGTTGGGAACAAGGCACCCAGAGCAGTCCAGCTGGAGGGGGACATGGGGAGGCAGAATCACATGCCTGGGCATTGGGGGGCTCTGCTGGCCTCCCTGTCCCTCTGCCTGTCCCACGGGCCTGGCCAGTAGGTCATGAGAAGGTCAAGGACAGAAGTCAACCAGCCGGGACCAGAAGGGATGGTGTAGAACACTCGAGTTTCAGGAGTTACTGTCCTACGCCAGGCCTGGGGGGTGAAGGTCACACTCAGGGTCACGCTCACCCACTGGTCAGAACCCTCAGGAGAGGCAGAGGGAGTGTGAGCAGAACATGGGCCTGAGGCTCACAGAAAATACCCAAGTGTTCTGGGCTGCAGAGGATCCAAAAAAAAAAAAACCAAAAAAAGGCAGCCCTCCCCGCCCCCTCCCAGAACCTCCAAGGGGCCCAGAGGGAGGCATAAGGTGCAGTCAATGCCGCAAGATGGGGTGCCAGTCGGGGCACAGGCAGGGTAAAGAGGCCTGGGAGGCCCAAACTGCAGCTGCCTAGGGGATGTGGGGAAGCATCACAAAAGCTCACCAAGCATCTGCCTTTACTGGAAAAAGAGAAGAAATTCGCCATCTCGAAGCATGCAAGTCAGCGAGTTCTGGAATGTTCACTGTTTTACGAACGTCACCCTTTCTACTTCTGGAACACTCCCATCACCCCGGAAAGAAGGCCACCACGGCCCTCAGCCGTAGGCAGGGGGAGGGGTACTTAGTTCCTGGGGTTCTGGCCTTAGTGTTGTGAGCAGAAGGCAAAGGACCCACAAGCAGGGCACAAGTCCTGCCATGTCCTGCCATGTCCTGCATGCACAACCGCACAGAACAGCCCCACAAGGAGACCCTCAGTGCAGCCAGATCTGTCTGCAGTGCAGTCTGCCTGGTGACCCCCTAAGCGGTGCCAGGCCAGGCACCCATCTTGTTCATGCTCCCACCTACGGGGGCCTGGCTCAGCTGGCCAGTGAGGCCTGACAGCCACAGCCCCCCAGATGGACCAGAAAGCCACTTCCACACCCCAGGAATTCTGCAACCCCAAGCTGATGGGGCCAATCTCCAAGACTGCGCAGTGTGGCCTGTGGCTGGGGGCTGGTAAATGGATGGAATTGGAGAACATCATTCTGAGTGAGGTTAGCCTGGCCCAAAAGACCAAAAATCGTATGTTCTCCCTCATATGTGGACA